TTTTAAATTAAAAAAGCATACATTTTTCATAATGTTTAGTGAAATTATTTGGTAGTCTGAGGTGGGATGGGGATTCAGGAAAGGGGGGCAGATTTTTTTTATAGGTTTAAAGGGGGGCGCGACCAAAAAAGTTTGAGAACCACTGGTCTAAAGTTAACAGACAGTGTTTAAAAAGTGCAGTCCACATGTTTACATATGTTTATTACAGTGACTTTGAATTACCTAAAGTAGTGTGGTAAAGCAACAGATTTGTTTTTATATTTCTGCAATCTACTTTAGTTTGTGTGATTTGTTACTGACTTTCATATTAATGTTTACACCAGGCTTATTTAAACATAATGATTACATGCTTACAAGGTTGGAAGTTCAACAAATCAGTAAATGTACTGTGATTGTAGTTGTTAAATAAAAATGTCATTCATATCAATTCATGCATCACCTAATTTCATTTTAACATATAGGCCTGGCCTACAGAAAAGAATATTTATGTTTAATCTATCTAATAGTGTGTTGAGCATACTATACAATGATTTATAGCTTGTCTTTGTTGAATAATACAGAACATAAAGAGCTTTAAAAAAATTATTGCATATTAAATTGCAATCGCAATATTGGTAAAAACAATCGCAATTAGATTATTTTCCAAAATCATTCAGCCCTAGTTTTAATGCTAATTAAAAGATGAAAAGGTAATACTAACCGTGGGCAATTTTATCATGATTTATCGTCAAACCGGTAATCGTTACATCCCTACTGATTACAGCCTGGGATTACAAAGATTTGTATTTTAAAGAAAACCAGTTCGAAGGGAGCATAATAGATTGAAACAAATGTGCTTCAGCCAGAAAAAAAGGGTATGAAAAGTGCTCCGAGTCGCTGCAGAAAACAAAAAAATTGAACAACAACAAAAACTGGAAATGTTGCTGGAGACGGGCTTATTTAAAATGAAAACTGATTCTCTGCCAGCAGGAGGCGCTTTTAGAGTGATAAAACTAGCGGTTTCTCCAGTAATGGCTGTAATCAAAGAAGCTCCGCTCATGAATGCTACTTTATCAGATCAAATGAAAATGCCATCGAAACTTTTCCCTTCAGAGATACATTCATATAAAACACCCGTGCCGTGTTATGATTTTGAAACGTGCAGTGCTCATGTTTATTCAACGAAGTCAAACGCCACAAATAAATCAATGTATGGGAAACTGGTAATGTATATCGAAATATGGGAAATGTGTTTAAAAATCATATCACCGTTATTGAAAAAAATTATATCGCGATACATATTGATATTGAATTATTGTCCAGCCCTATGCTGGACAGTATTTATTTATTGCCAGTTGTTCAAATCGCGGTAATCCAGTACGGTTTTAATTAGGGCTGAACGATTAATTGCATTTGCGATAATATCGCGATATGAAATAAGGCGATTTTTGAGACTGTGATACTGTGATTACACGGTCATGTGACACGCGAGAGTAAAGAGGTGTGTTCCACTTGAAGATCGATCGGTGTAAAGTACGGCGCCTTTTTGTCTAAATGGTTCCATAAAGAACCTTTAACATCTGAAGAACCTTTCTGTTTCACAAAAGGTTCTTTGTGGTGAAAGAAGGTTCTTCAGATTATAAAAAGGTAAGAAAGAGATGGTTCTTTAAAGAACCTTTGACTGAATGGTTCTTTGTGGAACCAAAAATGGTTCTTCTATGGCATCGCTTGAAGAACCTTTTGAAGCACCTTTATTTTTAAGAGTGTACTTTGATGACACACACCCATCGTTCTAAGCAGCGGTGCTTCAAGTTGAGCGCGGGCCATCAGCAGAAAAAGAAAAGAAATAAAATGGTAAACAGCCAAAGGACGTAACTTAGAATGGGAGATGGATTGGTTTGTGAAAGCGAAGAGAATAGCCATAGATGAAGTCGCACAGACCCAGGCAGGTGCTGGTCATTCACAAGCTAAATGCAGAAAATATGACAAGCCATATCTTGCTCTCGGCTTCACTCACCGTGTCTATACCGCACGCTACAGTTGTGCATCGCGCTGCAACAGCTCTACACGACGCGGCAAAGCGACCGTTGCAAATCATTTTAACTTTGTGTCAGTACCTTATAAATAGAACAAGGCATCAGTTTAATGTCAGGTTTTGTCTCCACATCCAGTGTACACAGCGTCACTGATTATAACGGTTCTACTGTATTTTGCCGCTCGTGTCTGGTATAGACATGGTGTTTAATGTTGGTGAGGAGGAAAGCCTGTGTGTGTCCTATGCCTTAGCGGACAGCATGAAACCCACAAAAAATAAATAAATAACAGCGAGGGAATAATAATAATAAGTTATTCTCTCTATGCTATTTTTCAATGTTTCAAGTGATGCAGGTGTTTTTTCCCTGTAGGTTTTTTAAATTAAAAAAGCATACATTTTTCATAATGTTTAGTGAAATTATTTGGTAGTCTGAGGTGGGATGGGGATTCAGGAAAGGGGGGCAGATTTTTTTTATAGGTTTAAAGGGGGGCGCGACCAAAAAAGTTTGAGAACCACTGGTCTAAAGTTAACAGACAGTGTTTAAAAAGTGCAGTCCACATGTTTACATATGTTTATTACAGTGACTTTGAATTACCTAAAGTAGTGTGGTAAAGCAACAGATTTGTTTTTATATTTCTGCAATCTACTTTAGTTTGTGTGATTTGTTACTGACTTTCATATTAATGTTTACACCAGGCTTATTTAAACATAATGATTACATGCTTACAAGGTTGGAAGTTCAACAAATCAGTAAATGTACTGTGATTGTAGTTGTTAAATAAAAATGTCATTCATATCAATTCATGCATCACCTAATTTCATTTTAACATATAGGCCTGGCCTACAGAAAAGAATATTTATGTTTAATCTATCTAATAGTGTGTTGAGCATACTATACAATGATTTATAGCTTGTCTTTGTTGAATAATACAGAACATAAAGAGCTTTAAAAAAATTATTGCATATTAAATTGCAATCGCAATATTGGTAAAAACAATCGCAATTAGATTATTTTCCAAAATCATTCAGCCCTAGTTTTAATGCTAATTAAAAGATGAAAAGGTAATACTAACCGTGGGCAATTTTATCATGATTTATCGTCAAACCGGTAATCGTTACATCCCTACTGATTACAGCCTGGGATTACAAAGATTTGTATTTTAAAGAAAACCAGTTCGAAGGGAGCATAATTAGCTTTTGGGGTTAAAAGAATTTCTTAATATGAAATTCGAAGAGTATGTCAATTAGATTAGACTGTGCAGAAATTGAAATCTACACGCTAATACATGAAAAGGTAATACTAACCGTGGGCAATTTTATCATGATTTATCGTCAAACCGGTAATCGTTACATCCCTACTGATTACAGCCTGGGATTACAAAGATTTGTATTTTAAAGAAAACCAGTTCGAAGGGAGCATAATTAGCTTTTGGGGTTAAAAGAATTTCTTAATATGAAATTCGAAGAGTATGTCAATTAGATTAGACTGTGCAGAAATTGAAATCTACACGCTAATACACACTATACTCATAGTCACCAATGCTGATGTTGTTAATATGAATCATTTGAGAATAAAGTATAACAATAATAATAATTTGAACGGTTCGATGTTATATAAGCTAACCGAATTTTAGATTTAATCACCATTGGTAGCGAGATTTATGGTAATGCTTTTTTCCTCAGTTGGTCAGAACAAATGAGGCAGACTTGTTTCTTACAATTTCGGATGGCAATAGGGTGAAAATTCTTATTTCCAAGACTTAGGCTAGAATCTGTGATTGCGAAGTACAGTAAATATCCACACCGGTGCGGTGACTGACTGCCACACATACTCTTCATAACATAGATTCATCCGTGCTGGAGCCGTGCCGCCGCACAACCCACGCAAGCTAGATAATACCGCACACAGCTGCAATTCCAGGTTTTCAAACAGAGATGGTGACAAAGAGACAAAACTTACGAACTGCAGCATTAAACTAATTATAGAAAAGGTTTGAGAATAGAAGCTAACCTGTGGTGACTCACACAGGCACAAACACACCCTTGAGCTTTTATTGTCATCAGTCGGTTGACAGCTCCTGTTTTGTGCGTGCCCTCTGAAAATCATTGTGTTGGTGGCTGTGGGTCTAATTTCCCACCTCCTGCCCTCAAAAGAACCCCAGGACACTTTGCTGTGGTCTGGAAAGTTCTGATCCGGTTTCATCTGGTTCAGTTCAAACTCTCTCTTTTGCTACCTCATATCAAAGAGATGAATAAACATCTATATTACAAGAAACCAAAGGTGTGTGGGTGTTTCAGTGTCAGGAGATCTGCTCTTTCATACATTTGTTGACTTTTAATGATGCATCAGCCGATTTAAATATCAAAAGCTCTTTGTATCAGTTGTCATGACTTATTTTAAAATGTATTTGGCTGGAACGGATTCCTGTTGTTTGCTCAGAAATGAATATATGTCATAATTTACTCACCTTGATGTAGTTCCTGAATGGCTTGTAAACAAATATGACATGTTTGAATATGTGGATATGTGAATGACGTTTGAGAATACAAATTTCCTTAAATTTAAAATTCACTTAAACTATTATTCTTCAAAAGCTGTTCAAATGAATTAGAACATGTTTCTTTTGTAGGGGTAAATGAAGAATGAAAGTGTTCAATATGCTTAGTTTGTGACCCCTGACACATCATTTAGCATCTCAGGTCCTTTTCTTGGCTATCGTAATGGCCCATAAGTGCTTGGCAGGAGTCTGGACTGTCACATACTTCTCCACACCTCTTTTTGTTGGAGGAAGTACTTATAAAAACACATTTTAAAAGTTATAAAATGTTTAGAGTGATGATCCTCATCAGCTGCTGTGGGTTTGTGTGGGCATTTTCAAGCATGAACATCATTCCTCTCTGCTGAATTCCACATTTTCTGTTCTATTATGCATATGTTCCTTATCAATGTTTTTTACTATGTATCTCTTTCTCTCTGTCCTAATAGTTATTTCAGGGGATGTTGTCCGCTCTGCACTCTGAGATAGATATTCAAAGATATCTGCTGAAAATCCAGAACGTTGGTTCACGCAGAGTCAGTACAAGCACGGATGAAAGTGTGTGTTCCGCATGTGTGTGTTTAACAATACCACACAATCACCTAACATGGAAAAACGTATTCATCTGAAACTAATAAACTGACTGGACTGATATATACAGGCATGTCCATACTGCCTTTGATGTATAAATTATGTGTACACTTTGAATCTAGTTTTTGGTGTATGTAGTCAGTCTGATCTGCATGACTGATTGCAGTCTTCACAGCTGACCGGCAGCTGTCGCTTTAAATGAAATGTGCAGTGTGTGTTTCAGAAAATGTTAATGTATTCATACAAATTATGCTTTGGTCACAATGAGTGGTTCAAGTTTTCATGCATGTAGTGAAGAAACCCTGTTGGAAATCCAGCTAAAACCAGCTTCTGATGGTTTTACAAGGTTCTGCACTGTTAGAGATAAAGGTTCCAAAAAATAAAGGTTTCACAGTGATTCCATAGAAGAATAATTTGTTCTAAAAAAAAAAATTATATATATATATATATATATATATATATATATATATATATATAAAGAACCA